AAACAGTAATTTTAGTTATCTATATAGTTATCTCGCGTATATTAATACATTTTCTTTTGTTTATGATTGATTCGTCAAATTGATTCGTTTCGTGGTGCGGTGATAAAGTATTAATTATTAATTTTTATGTTATCTCTTTTTACTCTTCTTTACATATAATTTCATCTTATTTTCACATATTATTATTTTATATTATTGTATTAATTTGCATATTTAATTTTATATCGTCCCTCTTATGCTAAAACCATGGATGTATTTTTATGACTAAAGGAGAAGAGGGCACTCAACAATTATTTTATAATTAAACTTAAGTTTGAAGTAAAATTATCTGCAAAATAAAAAATTTTAAAAATTTCAATTTCCAGAGGTATCTGAAATTGTGAATTTCTAAAATTTATTAAATCGCATATTTATGGTGTTGGTATAAAGGAGACTATAATCTTTAATTCTTAAAGTAGATTAAATCTTATTGATTAAATGTCATTTAACTTTAAATTATTCTGCGTTATATAGAATAGGAACAAACGCTCTGCTTTCTCTCTCTTTCACTTGACGCACGCTTCCTCTTGGCTTTCTCTTTCTTTGCATCAAGGAGAATGAATAGCTCGCGGGTCCGAAGTGAAGACAAACTTTTTAGTGAGATTACTAGCCGATAATAATTCAACCGAGGTCGGAATTTCATTTCAATTCCGTGCCTCGTCCCCTCATTCTCACCGCCACCGTATTCAACCGGGGGCTGCAAGTGACAGTGGCGCGAGACTAGCCCAGAAATCTGCTTATAACGTCGCTGATCAAAAGTCCGCGGAACATGTGTATTACGAATATCTCGCTCCTTTTGACAAAGAAGAATTAAAAAACTTAATAAAAAGTGAACAAAGAAAATTAGAACGCCGTACTATAAATTTTAGAAAATTAGAAACATTTAAATAGAAATTTCAAAAAATTAAAAAAATATTTTTAATGCAACAAATTGATTTTTTTCTATTAAACACGACAAATTTCTAATTATATATATTAATTTTATAGTCAATCAAGAAATCTTGCTCTTCCCGTTTTAAACGGCAGATTTTTATGCGGATTGTATAAAATCATAAAATAATTATAAACAATCTTTTAATACAAAAATAAGTTTTACAAGATTTAATTTAATTCATTTAAGCCTATCAATTTAGGGAACGCGTTATCTTGTACCTTTTTCCTCTCCACTCTTTTTTTCTTTACAGTGGAGTAGGTATAAACCCTGAAATGTCGAATTTCTGCAACGATGTAAAAAGAGCGGAGAGGAAAAAACAATGACGAAAAAAGTTTCGCACTTGTCACGACGGCTATTTTTTCGGAAACATCTTTTTTCTCCTTTTTTTCCCCGCCGACACCCCGGCGAAAACAACGGCTCGAATTTGACGAACAAAAGTGTCGGGAACGGAGAACGACATTTCCGGGAAACGCGGAGAGAAAAAAAAGTGAAAGGTGGAGCTTGATATTTTTTCGAAGAGGAGAGGGCGATAGCGGAGAAATTGGAAATTTTGTTCGCGCGAAACACGTCGCGTCGCATCGCTCGTCTATTGGTCTGGTTAATTTGCATATACACGCTCACGCGTTTTTTAACCGATAAACGAGCGTATAGGTATATTAAAGAGATTGACCATTTTTTGGTCATTTCCGACGCATAACACGTTCATCACGATCAAATGTCGCGACACTGGAAAGCGGAATAAAATATATGAATTGCATTAAATAAATGTTGAAAAGACAATTCTACTTAAAAAAAATAATTATCTGGCATCTACTTGTTTTTCTGAGATTTACGAAATAAAGTATTTAGTAATAATGAGAAAAATATATTTTCTATTATAAAAAAAACCTTCTTTTCTTATGATTCCCTTCTCTTTTTATGAAAATGTATAAGTTTCTAAAAAATAAACATTTTGTTTTTTATAATATACGTATTTATGTATGTCTGTACTATATACAGCAATTCATTAAATTATAACATTTGATTGTAATTATAACAAATACTTTAAATTATATTACGAAAATTATTACAATGTTTACATAAATAATATTAATTATATTATTATATTAATATATGTAATATAATATTGTTGTCAACAACAACGCTATACAATATAAATATTATATTTAATTAACGTAAAAGCATTTCGCGCTTTGATGTGAGATAATCCTTGCGGCGAGATGCACAAATAAGAGCGGACATTAAACGTTCCTCGTCATTTCTTACGGTAGCGGCGTGATGTTCTTTGCGTCAATTATGCATATTGAGAAGAAGCCAAATCACATTGTGACAGATAATGTATAATGTATAATATTAATATCGTGAGATATACATATACATATAAACGTACATACACAACACACATACACAAAATTGGGAAAAGTAGTCGAACTTTTCGTAAAGGCAAAAAAGAAGATAGTATATAAATGCGTGTATACAAAAAGATTACATAAAAGTTACGCGAAAAAGCTTCCAGACGATGTGAGATTAATAATAAATGCACAAACGCCAGGCGTAACTTTGGGGAAGCGAGTAGGGAGAGAGTGCATTTTCGTAAATATAAAGTAATAAGGAAACTAACTTTAGAGAATTTATAACAGCAAAATATTATGGATAAATTTTCGTCGTGCATTATTGGAAATAAAATCATGTGAAGAAACGATAGCAGATAGCAGAAATTATAGTTATTTTTAGAATTAATAATTTATTTTTAAATACATAATATAATTTACCTTCAATCATATAATTTATGATTTATGTGAAAGTAATATCCGATAAAAAATTGTTTGCTAAAATATTTTTAAAAAATAAAGCGCTTAAGCTTGGTGTGGTATTTTTCACAATATATTGCAAGCATTTCAGAATATATGATAATATTAGTTTGGAGTAATGTTTAATTTTTGCTAGCAGTGAATGTAAAGCCATGCAAGAAAACAAAATTAAAACTGTTTTTAGAATTATTATAACTAATAATTTTCCCAATAAATTAAATGCCATAGAAAAAATCGTTATAAATAAATTAGCATTATACGAAATCCAATATATCGGAAATTGTGTAAATTTACAATCCTTTTTTCTTTTAGGACAAAAAAAAATAACTACTTTCAATATTTTACGATATTTTCATTATTCCTTTACTCTGCGTTATAAAGTTAGATATTTAATTTGTTAATCATGCGTTGGTTTAATTAAGTGTTTTAAGTATAAAGCTGTCTTAAGACTAAACTGCCTAGATTAATATCGTAAACACACGCAAAATTGGCATCGCTGCCAAGAAACGACCTAATTCGTGACATGTGTTCGGAATTAGTGTCATAATATTATGCATAATTGCTCTTCCATTGCCAGCTGTCCGCCGTTTCAACGGTACTACTTAATAACGTTATTCACATTTTAAAAGAGAACGAATTTTCCTTATGATAAACTAATTCTTAAGAAAAATGTACATGTAAATATGCGGTAATAATTCCATTTTTTAATAATAATAATAGAATAATATTTTTGATGCAAATATACGGTATGTTAGGAAGTTACTATTTCAAAAATTTTGCAGGCAAAAATTAATATCAATATTTTGTTATTAGAAATACTAATAAATTTTTACAGAAATCTGGGTATTTTATTGTAAAATATAATTTTACAAATTTAAAAAAATATAATTTTAAATTTAATAATAGAAATTAAACATGTGTTAATTTCAATACTTTTTTTTTTTAATCTATATTAAGACATTATAGAAGCTACAGAAAAGTTTTCTGCGCATTTAACAAAACAATATAATATTAATTATCATTATTTAAAAATAATGTATTATTAAAAGTAACATAATTATTTTTTATATTTATATGTTTATGTGATATCTTTTTTTTCAGGAATTTTATGCTACAACAAAATTAATAAAAATTAATACTGTATGACGCGATAAAATTATAATGCAGTGATCTAATGGCCTACTTTGTAAACAACTAGCATGAGTCATATCAAACGAAACACACGTAATCATTGTCCGGTTTAATTGTCGCAGTTAATCACGATCGTCGATAATATGGAACTAAAGTTATGCCAAGTTTCAAACTTTGGCGAGTGCGGACCCTTCTCGAACCCCATTGAAATTTTGCGTCCTTTCAGGGAGACATCGTCCATCTTGTCTTTAGAGTGAATAGGAGGGCGCACCCTAGAGATGTGTTAAGTTTTAAGGTATAACCCTACCATGTATACATACGTACACTGCAGGAATCTATATCTATACATTGTGTACACACACACATAACTACGTTCTATGTAAATATTTCATATAACATCCAAAATTGGTGATCCAAAACAAAGCGTCAAATTGTTTTATCAAGAGAAAGAAGTTAAATACTTAATTATTATACAAAAATATCATTAATTATTATTTTTACACAATTATTTATAGGTACACGAATAAAGTAATAGAGGAAAGTCCCCTATTATAAGATACCACATCTATTTTGCGTGATTGCCGAGAGTTTATGTGCAGAATTGAAAACTGTAGTAGGCGAGTGCACGCACGATCAAATAATGAATTTTCCACTAAATAGATTTTACTCTAAGAACAATAAGTTCATGATGGAACCAATAAATAGAACCTATTAGAAACCTTGCTATCGCATATTAGGAATCTATCTCATAATAGAGGACTTTCCTCTAATAATAAAGTGCATTGAGCAAAGTTTCTTATTTTAATTTTTAATTTTTGTAATAGTTAGTGTCACATGCATAATATAATTCGTTTTTACAACCTTCTAACATATTTAGTATGAATATTATATTAATTGTGGTCAGACATGAGTTGATTTCTATCACCAAAAGTTTGAGATTTAGGTTTAGGGTTAGGTTCAGTTTTATAGTAGACATTATTGAAAATGTATACTATGTGAAACAAAATCAAACTTATGTGCATTATAATATATAACATTTTTATTATTTTATTTCTTTTATAATAAAATGGAAATAATATAAAATGTTTAACAGTTTAAAAAAGAAGTTTTTACAAGATAAAAAGAATACTAGAAGAAAGTATTAGATGACACTTTTTTCGTCAAAGCAGCCACCCTTATATTTAATCATTTCTTTACTAATTTAAGTAATCTAGCTACAAGGTAATTTATTTTTTCTAACAAAACATTCTTCCACCTATTTATTGAAATAGGCCACAGCTCAGATTTAGAATAAAGGCTTCTTGACTGTAATCTATTTTTTTTTTAAATTAAACAAATTAAATTATGGTAATCACAACTATGCTAAATATAATATATATTTACTTTCGAATTAAATAAAAATAAAATTAATTAAAGCATGAATACTTCTAACTATAAGTGTACGATCTCAAACTTCTGGCTGGCAGTTTATTCAGGTTTATTAATAGGTATAACATATTTTGCTTTTGCAGTTTCATCTAATTAAAAAAAAATTTCATTAGTTAATATAGTTATATTATAGATATATGTATATATGTATATCTGTTACAGTAATCTATCTTTATTGCCAGTTTTTTAACTAATATGAAGCAGATTGAGATTTGCATAAAATTGCGAAATTAGCAATTAGGAATTATGAATTATAGCAAATATAAAGGATATGTAATAAGAATCTGACCGCTCGGTATAATATCCAATGTTCCATGTAACATCACGAATATTGGTAGGTGCAGTCTCTCATACATCACGAGGAGGATTCTGCGCGATATGAAAATTATTCGCGTGAGATTTTCGCCATAAATTACGGGAATTAATTCGATTTAATCTCCACCGCACGTGGCAAGGGTGGTTAATGTGTTTCCCCCCTTCCCTTTTCTCTTTCCGTTTTACTTTACAAGCCGAATTTTTCCGTGATTATTTTATATTACGTGTTCAATATACATATGCATAACATGTATATGTATTTTAAATATGCTTATACATTTGTATATATAAACGCACTTTTTAATAACAATTATTTATTTTATTATTTTTTACAACAATTAATAATAAAAATCTGTATATTTGTGTAATACTTACTTGTGTAATAATAAAAAATATCAAAATATACCTAATAAAATTATAATGCCAAATGATTATTATAGGATTATCGTATATATTTGTTATATGTACAAAATTATTATGTTGATAATTGATCAATTTGCAAATTGAAGGAGAATGATGAACGCAACAACACACTTGAGCGTGATTTTGATTCATCAATCGATCCATGTTTCGAAATAAACGACACGATTGCTCTTGACCTCGTTGAAAAAATGCCAAGAAAAAAAAGAAGATGTACTCACCGCTTGTACGAATCCGGGGTCGTGCAGAGCTCGCTCAGCATGCAGTCCAAATCGGTTGCCAGAGAATTAAGCAGCTGAAAGACAAAAGCAGAGAAGAGGGTTAGGGTCAGCGAGGGAAGACTAGTTCGACAATAGGTTATCATTCTATTAACTAACCGTCCGGTTGATCAATAATGCCGTTTACATTATAAAAAGTTAAAACTGCCACTATGTAAATTTCAACATTTTAGCGCAGTAAATCTCCGAAATTAAGTAATATAATAATCAAATTTATTAAAAATATCCTTTTAATTGTTTTTGATCAATTTGTGAAGATTTCCTTAAAAATTTTAATATATTACATAATATTAATAAAATATAATTTTAATATAATATATATATACAATATGACAAATATCAAAAGTAAAAATTCGACTATTTTTCCGTCATTATAAATTTATAAACTTCGATGAGAGTAGTATTCGACGACCAGAAAAACTCTTACATTTGAATAACACAATTAAAAAATATTTTATAGGTTAATGTTCACAACTTAATGGCCACAACTTTGACGCAATAAATTGTACGTTATAATCATCAATATCTTTTTAACCATAATCAAAACAATAAGTTTCTTTTAAGGGCGGAAAGTCCTGACAACATACTAACTTTGATTGCAATTTAATTTCTCCAACGCCTCACATATAGTAGTTAAAATATGCCAAAATATACTAAAATAACCCTTTTAACATCTTTAAGGGGATGCTGGAGCCGTCTGTTTTACCGGCATTTTTTGTCGACACGTAGCGTCGTATTAATTTGACAGAATTAAAAATCCTTCTCCAGAATTGCAGTACATACATTAATGATTCGGGGGAACTCTGATTTTATATAGAAAACGAGAAAAAATTACGGAAGTACAGATTTCCTTATCCTACTTTTACCCCAATATGGCGTCTCGAGTTGCGGCGAGCTGTCAGCTCGTCACAAAATGTATTTCATATAAGAGATATACCATTCGTACGAACGCGAAAACAAGTTCCCCCGAATTGCACAACAAGAAAAACATTGATAAACCCTCCAAATCAAGATTTGGAAGCGTAATATAAAAGTATAATGTCGACGTGCATCGTGCGTATGTGTGCGTGCAATGTAGCGTGCTATCCTTGTCTATATCTTTGTCTATACAATGACAGATATAGTTCGCCGGTCTTCTTTACCGACGCCGATCGAGTTCGGCTACGGCTCCAGCATCCCCTTAACTGCAAAGAGTAACCTTAAAATCGGACATTTTTAGCCTATTTTGGTAGTCCTCGAAATTCGAATCGAATTCTATGCCAAACGATATAAAATGTTTTCATAAAGATACAGTAGCTGAAATGCAAAAAAAAATTAATCATTCCTGGCTATTGCAACATTTTATATTCAAAAATTCTTATACAACCTCCACATTGTAAGATTGTAGTTTGTTAGTGGACCGCTCAGGTTAATTCGCGTCGGCGTGGTGAGGAAGGCAAAATAACTTGATTGTTCACAATTGTCCTTTTATTGCACACTATTTACAACGCAGCACTCGCTACAGTTCGTCTCGCTACGATACGACTCGATATCATAGAACTCCGGTTTACTCGCTTTTCGCCGATCGCTCGATTAGCACGAGCGTCGCGTATGAGTTTCGAGGGCTCACAGGTCCTCCGGGTCCTCCCCCGGCCGGAGCAAGCAAAACGATCGCGGCCGGAGCTACGCATTAGGCCGCGAGGAATTTCGTGACGATAAATCGTCTGGTTCCAAACTGTCAGGCGACTATTTTTTTTTTTTTTTGAGGTTATTAACTCCGGTTGGAGTTATAAACGCCTTCAGCCCCACCTTTGGGCTATATAGCGTATTTTAGTGTTGAACTGATTAACGCAGTACTTGTTAAATAATCCTTCCTATCTGTTTAATGAATCTGTATACCACTCCAATTTTAGGCCAGTCCTTTCTCTTGATCAATTCCACTATGTCCTCTGCTCCGTAAATGTTACGTATCACCAATTCCTCGTTCATCACTTCCCTTTCCACATCGTACCTACTACACTGTCATATTACATGATTTATGTCTTCCTTTTCGTAGCCGCAGTCGCATCTAGATATATCTATATAGTTCTTTCTAGCTAAAGACTCGTTTAAATTGTAGTGGGTCGCTCTTATACGATTAATGAAAGAATAAAAATATCTCTCCGCTTTAATTTCTTTAAACCAAGGTTGTTTTTTGTTTCTGTCGTGGAAATTTCGAAAGTAATCCTTGCCTTTATATGAACTTTCACTAATTAATTTATCCTGCGTGTTATTCCAAGCTTCTTCTCTAAATATGCTTCTTAAGTCCGTTATCGGGACGGGGATATTTATTTCCGCTACTTCTGACGCACCTACTTTTGCTAATCTGTCTGCTATCTCATTTCCAGTATAACCTCTATGAGCTGGGATCCATCCATAAATAATTTTCCAACCAAATTTAGTTTTTAATCTAGAATGACGTCTTCTAATGTCTAATATAAAGCTACTCTTATATACATCTAGCCTATTGTTTTTTATTGCTTTTAATACACTCTGGCAATCCGATAATATTAGTATTTGCTTGTTAATTCTCTCTTCTTGTTCTTGATCCTTTTCTAGTTTTTTTAA